GATATTTTCAGTCTTTCTGAGTCGTTATTCAAAAATAACTAGCAATATAATAACTACTCAAATAAAATACTGAAAATATCCTGAATGTGACTCTTCAATTCTACGACGTGATGAAGCAGGGGTATATCACAGTAGGACACTCTCTTCTATTTATTATCTACTCTTGGTTATAGTTATACTTCACAAGTTATAGGTTGAATAGATTTTAAGCTTATCACGCATGGTAAAAATGCATAGTTTTTGTCATGTCTTATCGTAATGCATTATTCTAGTATCATTGTTCTGTTAGTTTATATCGGTAAAGTAGACATTTAGAAGTATTTAAAGCAATGAAATTACCTTGAATTCTTTATGCAAATGTAAGTAATGGAGCGATTCTCTTACTATGGTCTCCGCGTAGCACCTGAAGGAAAGATCATGATTACAAAGTCTGTCCGCGCTCTATTGCATTGATTTGAATGGGATCACGTGATCCGTTTCCAATCCATGTTACGTACGTAGTTATGAAATCTATGGTCTATTCATGGTCAATAATTTCCCGCCCCCAATGTTTCTGCAGCTGCTCCGCCTATCATGTGATCTGCCTTTCCTATCAAAATGGCGTCTGGAGGTTATAATGCGTCTTATGAAGACAGTGGTCCTACTGGTTTTGGTAATGAATCCATGGATGACAGTATCTCTGCAAATGGAACCAAATCTACTGGGTACTCTGGGGATTCGGCACCATTAGTTGGGATTGACTACAAGAGGTTTGTTGTATATATAGATTAGATTAAGTCGGGGCTATTCCATCCCCCAGTATAAACCAATATAAAATCAGAGTACAATGGTCGGAATAGCCACAGTTAGAGGGTCCTCTTTCTTCAGTTATAACTTCTTAACTATAGCAGATACAGGACTGAAACAAGGATGTGTCTATTCAGCATAGAATTCTCTAACTACAGCAGAGCTCAAGGCCAAGTTAATGCACTTACGTTATTTAAACGCTTACAAAACAGTCAGTTCAGATTTTTGAGTATGTACATGTACTTCATACAGTAACATAATAACATGATACGCTACATGAGCATAGAATTATACAGTACAAATGGTAAACTAACTAATGCTAAATGTTTAAGTATTACATATACAGTAAGTGCTATGGTACGTACATACTTAATACATATGGGTAAGTTACGGTATGTAATTGCGTATTAAAGTTAACTTGGCCCTGATCTCTGCTATACCAGCACTAAAGAACAGCTTGATCTTTATAAAGTCCGGCTAAGCAACTCTGGCTAAAAATTTGTGTTCATTAGCTTTTTCACGTATTATCTAGTAATAGTGTTGGTATATCTCCGGTCACTGCATAAATTTCCCGTATACTATTTAGTATCCGGAGGGTTGGAATAACCCTGTTAGGGTCAGAAGAGCCCCAACAACTAGTAGGTCAGTGAAAGTACTCTTTTCATCCAAACTTTGAGCTGAATTTTGCTGATTTCAAGGAAGTCCTAATAGAATAGACAAAGTAGAACTCATTGATGAATAAAATAAAGTAAAGACAAGTCAGTTATGGCTTCATTGATATTTAATTAGATCATAGTGCAGAAACAGGTCGGAATAGCCCCGCGTTACTCTGTATATTTACATATATGTAACAAGTTGATGAAGCATTAAATCATTGCAACTGATAAATGTAGTATTTTATCGTTGCATAAAGAAGACAGCACTGGATGAGGTGTGGCACATTGGCAGTTTTTGTCTTAAGTTTATGATTTGCCACTTCCTTCTGCAGCCTTATGTGATCCTGGCTTTAGTTGTCAGTAATGCATGCAAGGTGCTGTTATCGTAAATGTTCGATTAAAATCCCAGGTGTTTATTTCTTTCCAGGACAAAAAATACGTAAAATAAAAAAAGAAAAAGTAAAACTGAGATTTGAATCCGGAACTCCAGATTCAATGCACTCAGCTTAACCACCTAGGCCATTTTGGACACTCTGAAGATTGTGGGACTTATATTGAGTAAAATATGCGTATCTATACTTGGAAATTCTTAGTACCAGTTGTTTATTCAAGCCCGGCCTTTATTTGAACATTTACGGTAGATTAGCCCAGATGATTATCACTGGAATCACAAACCACCCAGAGGAGAATGCCCGAACTATATTAAGTTCGATGAGAGTGTGTGTTTTTTGTGTGTTGAATTTTGGTAATAAATTGAATGCCAGAGTTGACCCTCCTCTATTTTAATACTTTGGATCACACAAAGATGGCAGTGTAGTGAGTACACTAGTCCAGGTGAGGTGGGGCTAAATTCTAACCTCAACGTTAAAGCAGAGTTGTGTCAGTTGCATTATCAAAGGGCTTAAGCACAAGTCCAAGCCCTTTATCAAACAGTCAATTACAAGCCCAAGCCAAAGTGCAAAAATTTCTTTTGGGCTTAATTACAAGCTCAAGCTCTTTATCAAATGTATTTAATTCCTTTACAAGCCTTTTACTTAACTTATTAATAATTTGTTGGTACATGTAGTGTTGCTACTATTTTCAGTTTTAGTATTGTGCTCAAACTGCTCACTGAAGGGGGCATGGACTGCTGTAATTGTTAACACATACATGTACTATTGTGTAATGATTACTGATAACGAGGGCATCACTACAGATGAAAAAACACCCGGGCTTTAAGGCTTTAAGCCCAAGCCCAGGAATATACAACTTGTAATTAAGTACAAGCCCAAGCTCTCTTTTCTAAAAGGCTTTAAAGCACTTTTAATTACTTCAAAATCTGGGTTTAAGCCCAAAAAAGGCTTAAGCCCAAAAGGGCTCCACACAACTCTGCGCTATAGCCTACAGCATACCTTAATAGAGTGTGTCACACATGTTCCTGGTGCCATCATCTTTATTTCACCCCCACTACATCTGAAGAAATTTATGTGTTTTTGTTCGTGATTCTCAATTAACATCCTTTTTTAGTGCATTTACTTATTGGACTCGCCACGCTTGCGTAGGCAAGTAATAAGCAGTTTGGTTGTCATTCTGTCCACACATTTCAATTGATTTTTTTATATCTTTTTGTCTGAGCACTCTAGAGCTATATTTCTTCTTCCAACAACAGATAAAGTTGCTTTCTTTGATTCACATGTTTATATGCTGTTGTAGCATCCCATGACACCAAAGCCTGGGACTGTTAAACCAGGGGACCTCTCCCCAAGTGAGAGCTTGTGTTTCACTCTGCTGGACCAAGATTTGCTTCAGAGGTAGAAAATCCCATATAACAACAAAATAAAAGAACGATTTTGTCCTAACTTTTTTTGTTTGTGAGTTAAAGTTGCTCGAAGTTTGTGATTTAGTCACTTTAAGAAATTTTCAGGTGGAACATGGGATATCAGGAGCAACCAAACTGTCTTGGTCTATTTTGAATATCTATAGGCAACAGTTTTGTGCCAACCCTTTCTTTGAATAGGGCTTCAGATGCCCAACTAAGTTTCAGCTTTTCTTTTTTCTCGTAACCTTGTGTCATGATTAGCTAGTTGTTGTCACACCCATAGCTGATATAAATTATTACAGCTATGCAGTCAATAATAATAATTTTTTTTAATATGCTTAAAATATCACTGTACAAGTAACACATCACTCAAGTGAATTCAAGCGGGCGAGTGCATTGCACCATAGTGCTTCATTTTGTACATGTACATTTATGTATATTCTTTAACAGGAATGAAGAGCTCAGCAATATGCTTGATAGCAGCAAAGATGGCCTGAAACTTGATGCCATGAAGATCGTTATCGGGGTATGTTAAGCTATAATTTTGTAATTTGTAAATTTTGTCTGTATACATACTGTACATTTACCTGTATATTTTTGCTGTTATGTTTTGTAGCATGAATCACTGTCAATTTCATTAATTGTTGTTTTTCCTTACCCTTTGACTTTTTGTATTTAAAGGGTAAGTCCGGTGTATTTTTGGTGA